GGTGGCTCTCTCTCTCTCTCCCCACCCTCTCTCTCTCTCTCTCTCTCTCTCTCTCTCTCTCTCTCTGTGTGTGTGTGTCTGGTCAAATTAAAATAAAAATGAATGAATAAATAAAATTTATTCTTTTAAAGAAAAAAGAAGGATAAAATATCAAGAGGAAGATAAAGACAAAAGAGGTGAAGCTACAGGCAGAGTTAATATGCAAAATTTATGTTATAATTCTAGGTTCTTCAATTACAGCAGGCTCTAACCTTTCAGGCAGCTGGTGAAAAGCTGGAATAATAATTATGTGATGCCCATAAGCCACAAGTTAAAAGAAGTATGGCTATTCTTAGCACTGAAACCTGACAGGAATTTCTCCTAGCTGTCTCTCAAAAGCACCATCACCCATCGGGGTGGCAAGGACTTGGCACTGTTTCGTGGTATGCATTCCAATGTGGGTCAAAGTCTTATCAGCAAAAAATACTGCTTAGTAATAACAATAATGAGAGGCAGAACAGTGTGTTCGCCAGGTGTGAGCATGCTAAGTTTCCTGTTTAACCAAGGATAAAATCCTACGTACTCAGGAAATGGAAGCACCACGTGAGCTTTAGACAGGTCGCAGGGCCATTGGTCTTTAAAGAAAAGCTTTCCTAACAGTTGGGTGGCGGGATTCAGCCTCTACTTTCTGACAAGTATCTGGAAAGCAGATCCTAAGTCTTCGCTTAAGGGACAGGAGTTTGTAAGGACCATACAGAGAAGAATTGGTGACTCAGGCGTGTGATCCTCACGAGCTCCTCTTCCCTCATCTCTGTCTACACCTTTGGGTTAAGACTCCTCAGAAGGTGGTTCTGGGTTCCCTCCCACTGCTGCACTTCACGTGTTGTCCTGTTGTCCCTGACTCCCAGAGGGAGTAGAGGAGCTAGCTGGCCCAGGAACTGTGTGGGCTCTGTGGAGAGTGGGAGGCGTGGGCCAATGTCAGGGACCACTGTGTCGGGACTCAGTTTATGGAAACTGAAGACAACGGGAGTGAGGTTGTGAACTCTACCTCTCAACCTGAGCTGTCACCCTTGCTTCTTGGGAGGCTGGGAACAGGTGGTCACAGCGCCCAAGTCCCAACTATCCCTGCCCCACAGCACTTCTGAGTGAGAGTTCAAGGTACTTGCGTCAGAATGCTACCAGGCCTAGTCATTCAGGATCCCAAAGATCAGAAATAGCAGTTAGACATACAATTTGCATAATCCCTTATGGAGAACATATTAAGGTAACTTTATACACCCTACCAATTTATTGAGATAGGTCAAAAATAGAAACTACAGAGACCGGTTGGTGGACATTAGACAAAAATCTGCCATCCCTCACTCCAAAGTGCACAGGCTGAGGCAGAGGTGTCTGCTCTACCTCCCCACATCAGGCCCAGTTATCCAAGGCTCCTTATCTCTAGCCATGAACGGTGCTCAGAGGAGGCTGGTTAAGTACCTAGATTATCTATTACAAGTAGCAGAAGCAAGACAGGCTTGAACCAGGCAATCAAAACGGGACCCTGAGAGTAGGGAGTAGGCCCTGGGGATGTCTACCCTGGGTATCTCTCACCTCAAATGGGAACAAGCAGCTATTTGGGAGATGTGGCTACCGTGGGCAGGACGATCAGGCATCTCAGCTGAAACTAGCAAAAGGGACCACCTACAACTACTTGTTGTTTTTCATTTTTGATTCTTGGTTTCTGATTTCTAGTTTCCATTCTTCTTGCCTAAAATTTAATGTGAATCATCTCCACAAACACCAGAGGTAAAGAAAAAAAAATCAAAACGTTCATTGCTTAGTCTCTTACTGAAAGACATCTGATTAAACAGGCTCTGGGCAAAGAACCAACGTCTTAGCCTTAAACCATTTTACATCACTAAGGAAACAGGTTTAATAAAGTAGAGACACATCAGATACACCTAAGCCAGAGTGAGGAGCCTGTGGGAAGTTCACTTCCCAAGCTATCACCCTAGTTTCCAAGGGCACACAGCTCTAGGCCAAGTGCGGGTCACTGAATCCCCGTTCTGAGAAGTTGGACTTGGTCCTCGCCCAGGCCTTCCTCCTGCTGGAACAACAAGAAGGAAATGACTCCATCAGCTTTCATGTGATGCAGAAAAGGGCTGCAGGTTTGAATTCTGGCCTCTCAAGGAACATTTCGCAAAGATGCTTGTTACTTTGAAAAATTTCTAGAAGAAGGGCCAGCAGGTGGCGTGGTGGCTAAGGTGGTTGGACTCTCACGTGGCTGACCACTGTTCGGGTCCCGGACCTGGCAGCTTGCTTTTTTACTTCCCCTCTACCTCTGTCTCTCTCTGGTCAACTTTAAAAAAATAAAATAAAATAATGACAATAAATAAAATTAAATTAAATAATGATTTTTCAAAAAATTTCTAGAATACACTTTTTCCTTCCCTGAATTAAGAAACTATACCTCTTCTACAGGTTGCTTGGGGTACGGACACTACCTAGGTGCAATTTATTGAAGCTTTGATGAAGTCAAAGGGAGTTTTTAGTTCAAAGTTTGTGTGACTGTACTCCTAGAATTATTTTGGATGAGAACCTGAATAGAATTGAAAACTAGGCACATAGGGTGGTGGTATGGACTCTGGCTTTAGACCATTTGCTTAACTTATGAGCAAGGCAACTTTGGGCAAATCACCAGGCTTTCTCATCTGTAAAATGGAGATAATAATAACAAGTACTTTATAGGGTTGTTTTGATGATTAGCTTAAAAGAGTGCCTAGCATACATAAGTATGAAAATAAGTATTATTGTTTAATATTTTTATTTAACAATAACTGGAATTATTATTACTGATAGTAATTGAGAACTTACTCTGGGACCAGCAGTTAGCATAATGGCTATGTCACTGGACTCCCATGTAGTTGATCGTGGTTTGAGTCCTGGACTTGGTGGCTTAAACTCACACTAGGTGCGTGTGCGTGCATGCCCAAGATCCAGAGGGGAGAATGGAGGGAAACGGATTGCAGTGTGGCCATCCCCCCAGGGAGTGATTTCTCGCTTTCTGTCTGTCTCTCTCTGTCTTTCTGGTGAGCACATGCGCCCTATAGCAAAAACCTCTCCAAAAAAAAAAAAAAAGGAGAAGAAAGAAAAAGAAATTACTCTTGTAATTTTCATTCTAAGAACATAGAAGGGCATGTCTAACACAAAGAATGAGTGGGCATATCGGGAAACACTTCTTTTGAGGAATGTGGGTATATTACTAATTTCATGGTCCCTATGGTTCATGAAAGGACCCGGAAGGGGAGATTTGGCTTCTAAATCTGTCTCCCCTGATATTTAGCTGACAGGAGGCACATCACTTCTTAGTCTTTGTTTCATTTCTTGTCATATTCAGATGATAATATCTGCTCTACCTGTTCTTCAAGGTCGTTGGAAACTTCAAATGAGACTACATGTGGGAAAACACTTAGAAAACCATAAAGCACAACGACCTCATTTTTAAAGCAGGTCTCCTGGTGTTTGACCAAGTAGAAGAAATCAAACAGTTGAAACCTCTCAAATTCTTCAGCACTCTACAGCCCAAATGTAGTCCTGGAGGCTAGTCCAGCCCTGGCCCCAGCTCTCAGAGAAAGGCTTTGCCTCAAACTCCCTGCAATTTCCTGATGAGGATGCGCCGTGCAAGCCTGACAAGCACACCCTCCCCCTCCTTCCTTGCAGGCCCCTCCTCAGCCCATCTTCATGGGCAGAGGGCTCTGCCCACCTTGTCCAGCTCCCTGTCCTGGGTCTGACCTAACCTTGTCCTGAGATGATGAAGAAAAGAGACAGTGACCTTGCCCTTGGGCCAAGCCCACATTTCCTTTGCTCCCTGACTCCTCCCCAAAGGCCATCCAGGCTTTGACAGGACCCCATTGTGTGGGTGGGCTGGGGAGGGCCAGCTGCCAGTTCAGGAAAGGTGGTGCTGCCTCTGAGAGGCCCAAGTCCTTGTCAGCAGCTCAACAAAACTGCAAGTGTCATCACATTCCTCTCAGGCCTCAAAGTGCAAAACATCCACAGAGCCTCAGGAACGAGAGTGCCCAAGAGAGGCAAGCAAGTGCAATTTGCACGATGGAGAAAGAAGCCTTTGCACAGAGCCTGCCACCTTCCCAGTCACCGGCAGCAGTGCAGCAGGATGGCACCTCAGGGGGTTGCTGCAGCAAACACCTCTGAACAGCTGCTGAGCCTACTCCTGAAGGAGGCCAAAGAAGTCGCATCGACATGTAATTACAGCTTCGGTCAGGAAATTCCCTTTCCTCTCCTACTGCTCTCCTCCCAGTGCAAACCAGCTCCCTCCTGGGTCTGCAGTGCAGATGGAGGACTGGGTAAGAGCGCCTTGTAGCCCCTTGTCCCTGTGGCTGCCTAGCTTGTTTGGCTCCCACTTCATGAGTGAGGCCAAGGTCTTGCATTCAGTTTCTGGGTGGTCTACTAGTCTCGCCTAGATTCCTACTAGAAACTGAATGTCTCACTTCGGTTCTCAGCTAGAGGCCTTGAAAAGTCAGGTCAGTGGTCAGAAGAGGGAAAAGGTAGGGACCATCAAGGACTATGTGCCTCTCTTGGAAAACACTCCCAGCACAGCTGAACTCCCCAGGGACTGGAAGGGTCAACTCTTAAGAAAAGAAGAACTCTTTGCATCCAAGCCTGGGATTCTACAAACCAGCTAAACATCCCCACTCAAAGAAGGCCTGGGAGAAAGACAGCTCCGATAGCAAATGGAGGGGCTGAGGCTCACATTTCGGGCGTGGCGTACTCGGGGGCCTTCATCCTCATGCCTTCCTTCAGGCGACTGCAGAAGTCCTCATCCATTTGCACTCCTGGGTATGGAGACCCACCTGTAGGAGACACATGGGAAAGGACAGATCATCATGGGCCCACTCAGCATTTCTCTCGTCCCTTTAAGATGCCTTCATGGTAAATCCTCAGTGATGTAACAGATCTCAACGCACAGCACGACACGCAGAGCAGCTCAGCGAACCCTTGCAATGACACGCTTGGTGGGCTGGTCCTGCGACGCTGGGTGTCTGATTCCCAGAGGCCATTCCTATGCAACTCTTGTCTATAGCCAGGAAAACGGGTGTCATCTGAAGGGCCCTGCCCTTGCCCTTTCCTCACAGGGACTCCAAAGAAAGCCCATCTTAGAGACTCATTCCTTTGGTTAATAAGTCTCTTTTTAACAAGCCTGCAGACTTGGAGCAGGCTACTTACAGATCATTCATACCTTGCTACTTTGATTTATTTTATTTTATATCTTGTTTTTATTGCCAGAGGGCACATGTGCTGGCCAGAGAGAGAGAGAAAGAGAAAGCATGTCCCCAATAGGGCATGGTCACACCACACCACCTGTGGTCTGCCAGGTGGGATCCAGCCTTCCTTACACAGTGCTCAACTCTGCACTACAGGGCCAGCCCACAGCTTGCTACTTTCTCGCAAACTTCTCACAGCACAGGAGGACTAGAGGTTGTGATGGGCCTGAGGAAAGTGGGGCTTCGGGCTCCAGGACTCAGCTAGCTGTGGGAGTCAGGGCTACCTGTGGTCAGGAGTCTGTGGACCTGAGGATGCCAGAGGGGCCTCGCCTTCCCCTTCTGCCAGCTTCACCGTCTGCGAGTCCCTGTAACCTTTCCTTGTGAAAGGCCCGACTGGGGGTAGAGATGGCGAGGCTTCCCCATCTGCTCTGTTCCAGCCCTTGAACCTAATCTATCTCAGCATTTGTTTGTCTGCACTTTCTAGTGATGACTGCTGGTAGGAAGCAGCTGGGAGGCGTGCAGTGCTGGCACCGTGTCACTGAGGGGCTACCGTGGCCGCCAAAATGCTTTCGAAGCCTGGAAGCAACAGGTGCCTGTCATAGAAAGCAGGGGAATGATTTTTACACATTACAGGAAACCAGGGATGTTACTGGATGACTTTTATTTGCTCTGAAAGGCAAATATTTGGCAAAGCCTGAAAGACCATGTGCTGGCCAGAGAGAGAGAGAAAGAGAAAGCATGTCCCCAATAGGGCATGGTCACACCACACCACCTGTGGTCTGCCAGGTGGGATCCAGCCTTCCTTACACAGTGCTCAACTCTGCACTACAGGGCCAGCCCACAGCTTGCTACTTTCTCGCAAACTTCTCACAGCACAGGAGGACTAGAGGTTGTGATGGGCCTGAGGAAAGTGGGGCTTCGGGCTCCAGGACTCAGCTAGCTGTGGGAGTCAGGGCTACCTGTGGTCAGGAGTCTGTGGACCTGAGGATGCCAGAGGGGCCTCGCCTTCCCCTTCTGCCAGCTTCACCGTCTGCGAGTCCCTGTAACCTTTCCTTGTGAAAGGCCCGACTGGGGGTAGAGATGGCGAGGCTTCCCCATCTGCTCTGTTCCAGCCCTTGAACCTAATCTATCTCAGCATTTGTTTGTCTGCACTTTCTAGTGATGACTGCTGGTAGGAAGCAGCTGGGAGGCGTGCAGTGCTGGCACCGTGTCACTGAGGGGCTACCGTGGCCGCCAAAATGCTTTCGAAGCCTGGAAGCAACAGGTGCCTGTCATAGAAAGCAGGGGAATGATTTTTACACATTACAGGAAACCAGGGATGTTACTGGATGACTTTTATTTGCTCTGAAAGGCAAATATTTGGCAAAGCCTGAAAGACTCTTGGCTAGAACAGGAGTTTGGGAGGCCTCAGATCGTCGGTGTGTGTCTGCAGGCAGATGCAGGTTCTGTGGATCTGCGTGCATGGGACCTTGAGCAAGGACCTAGCTACCCACGGTGCTATTACACGCACGATGCTATGACCAGTGTCCTTGTTCATCCCACACATCCAGGGCTGTATCAGTGCTCATGTCAGAAGCACTAGGAAGGCCTCCTGTTATTCCCAACACCTCCGCTATGCCACTAAGCCTTTTCTAAAAAGAAATTCTGAGGGTGCAGGTTGGAGGTGGGGGAAGGGGAAAGGGCATTAGAAAGCTTGGTGTTGGAGGAATTACGAGAAGTGGGAAAGGGACAGAGAAGGATAAACCTGACTTCAGATTTTATACGGGTCCAGACTTCATGATCACATGAGGGGCCTTCAAAAAGTTAATAAAAATCTATATTATCTATATATTTAAAATGCATGAATTTCAAACCTTTTTACACCAAAATAAACCTGTAGCTTGATTCCATTTTCCCATGAACCTTTTGAATTCCCCTGGTATAAAGTCCTTTAACAATGAAGGATGGACATCCATATGCTAATACTCATCTGCGATTCCCCATGGACCCACGCCTCCATAATGGTTTTCCACTGCTTTGGGTGCTCCTCTAAAACAGTGTCTACCCAAAGAACGCTCAGCAGAGGGTGCACACACTTGCTTCTGGCCACTTCCTCCAAACTTACCTAAGGAGAAGATTTCCCACAGCAATACTCCGTAAGACCACACGTCACTCTTGGTGCTGTAGATTTTGTCAAAGATAGACTCAGGAGCCATCCACTTCAGAGGCAGGCGAGTCTAAGAGAGGGCAGGGGGGCTGTGAGCAGAAGGGCATGAACACAACGCACAGTCACCCCAAGTGCCCAGGGGGTTGGTAATGCTGGGCCCGTATTATGTCCTAGAGCAGCCATGGTTTCTGAACACAGAGAACCTTCTTAGAGCACGCAGTGTGAGGCTGAACACTGAGAGGCCCTCCTGAGTCCTGTGAAGGCGCTCCATGTTTAGGAAGCCCCTCTGATGTGTCCAGCATGTACTTAACTCTATGGCTCTGTGAGAAATCCTTCTTTGAAAAAAAGCCCACACTCCACAGGGACACTTAGGGCTTAGAAAAGAGTGATCTGAATTAGAAAACAGCCTGAAAGTTGGGGGTGATTTTGAAGAATTTTTCCTAAAAATGAGGATTTAAAAGGCAT